AACAACAACAACAACAGCAGCAGCAACAACAACAACCATCACAGCATTTTGAGTGGCAGCAAAGCAGCAGCCGCAGCCGCAGCCGCAGCTGCAGCCGCTGCCGCTGCCGCCGGTTTGAAGTCGCACTCATCCTTCATCGATGCATCGGAGGCTGCACTGAATCTGTCCAAGTGCTCGGGACTGAATTTGAGCCACGATGATTACTTCTACGATTACAATGTAAAGTCGGAGCTGGATTTGTCGGCTGGCGGCGGCGGTGGGGGCGGGAGAGGCGCCCGTAAAGCGGGCAGCAGCAGCAGCAGCAGCAGCGGTGGCAGCGCCGGCTTAGGCTTGCGCTTGCCCTTACCCATAGCGATGCCTATGCTGCCGCTGCCCGCCCACCAGCACCAGACGCTGGCCACAGCACAGGCCATACACAATGAGAGCCGCGTGAGCTCCACACGCAACGACAGCGCCGCTGCCGAGGCAAATCATCAGCGGAGCTACGATGATCTCGATGCCAGCTCGATGCGTAGCGGCGACGAGGATGCTGGCAATGCCTCCGATGAGGTGGAGGAACTGGAGGCCATCGATGCCGACTTTCCCTATCCCATCATACTCGACTCGAATTCGCCGGGCAGCGACAATGGCGGCAGCGGCAGCGGCGACGCCCAGACGCCCGTCAGTGGACGCAAGCGACGTCGCGCTGCCGAAGCGGAAGATCTGGATGATGAGGGCGACATGGATGGCGATGACTATGAGGATCAAATGCTGCAGCAGCATCGCCACTTGCGCCAGCAGCAGAATGTCACAGCCGGTGACCTGGATATGCCGCCGCCGCAGACGGTGCGCGAGGTGCTCAACTCCAAGTTCTGTGGCTTCATCTCGGCCAAGCTGAACAGCATGGAGGACTCGGAGGCCGATAATCTGATGAATCGCATACTCCTGCTGGTGGTGCAAATGCAACAGTGCGAGACACCCAAATAGGCGRAGAATRTGGAATCAAATGTGGGTTTGGGGTTTCGGGTTGGGCTTGTGCTTGGGGTTCGGGTCGGGTCGGGATTTTTATACTAGTTTATAAGCAGAGGAAGAGCTCATTATGGATTAATGCAGCTGCTCAAAGCAAAACGTTTTCTTGCCATTTACCAAAATGTTTCACAAATCTGTACTCTCAATATGCCATAAATCATAAATCATGCCAAAATTGTGCCATGCCAAAAAAGAAAAAAAAAAAGACGAAAATATAAGAATTAATGGAAGACTTCTTTAAAGCTATATCCCAAAAAGAAAAGAAAATAAAGAGAATGAAATATACAATTGTATGAACTCAATGAAAAGACACAACAACAAAGACAAAGATAGTTAGCCATATATGAGATTTAGTTTATTATAAACGTTAATTTAGTTCTAAGTGGATCTAACTATATATACATACATATATACATATGTAAATGTCTATATATGTCTATATTATAAAACTGTTTCAGTTTGATTTCTAGCTCTCTTCAACATTTTTTTTTAGTTCTACCTATATATATCTATATATTATCTTAGCCAACGTCTCATCACATGTTATCTTATAGTTTCTCTTCTTTTGAAGATAGTTCTTAACTCCAATCATGAAGAGTACAAAACAAGAAAATTGTATAAATACTTTGGAAGTTCTACATAAAGTGGCAAATACATATTAAATATATTATTTCATATACATTTACCTTAAACTCTATTCTTAGTTACTAAATAAATCATATTTCATTTAAATATCATTTCTCCAATACGTTTGCAAAGCGATGTAAATATTTATAAATGAGAAGTTAAATAAAATATACATATTAAAGTTATTAAAAATTGTTGTGAATATTGTGAACAAAAA